TATTAGTCGTGTTTCTGCTGTTTTATTCACGGTTCGCCGTGTTTGTTCAGCAGTTTACGTTAATGAGAATCTGCACAGGTTGTAAACTACGTTATTCCGCTACCGATCCACATTTAAAATGCCCTAGTTGCATTACTCCATGTTCTATTGTTTCTCGTTGTAAATTATGTATTAATTTACCAATTTCTGCCTTTGATAAATATTTATGTTCCGTTTTGAGACGGAAGGCAGATAAATCTTGCAAACAATCTTCAGTCATGGCTAATAGATCGGAAGCTATTATACCCTGTCAACTGTTGACTGACGACCCGCCACCGGCTGGTGGCATGCCGGAGTTTCCCTCGGGGGATAAGCGTGGGACGCAGTCCGCTATGTCCAAGAAGCGACCTGCATCTCAAGACATTCCGTCTTCACAGTCTAAGACTAGGAAAGCGTCCACATCATCTCAACGTACGCTTCGAACCCCCAGGTCCACAACTTCGTCAAAAGGGAAATCTACGAAAGCTACAAATAATTTTGCCTCCGATATTCTACCTGTCTCAGAATTATGTTTATATGATGATGACATTCCGATTATCATTCCAGATGTACGTCATAAGAAACGTCCAGTATCTGCTACCGTCACTACAGCGCAGATAAACACGCAACCAGAGATGCCTACGCTGACGCCTGAGTTTACGATTGAGGGTCCCGTCACTTTCACAGAGAGGCCACCCTCAACGCCAGCGCAGACCGTCCCAGACGACCTGGTTAACCAAATCATGAGACTGATGGAGGACCGTTACGGTTTACAGAGGCCCCAGAGCCACGGGCCCCAGAGCCCAACACTTAATAAGTCATACAGGGCCCCAGAGCCCGCCTTGGCTTCGCGTAGGGCCCCAGAGCCCACAAACGCGCCTCCGCGAAGGGCAACCCAGCCCGTAGCGATCACTTCGCAAAGGAAGTCCCAGGCCGCCTCCGCGAAGGAGCTAGAGCCTATCCAGTTGCGAGGGACATCGCGGAGAAGGAGCGCTTCGCCGAGCCCACACCCTGTAGAACACAGAGGTCGTTCGCGAAGCAAGCGCTCATATGTCGATTCGGACACTGACTCGATACATTCGCGAAGGTCGCGAAGGCTAAGTGGCTCCATATCTACCTCGCCCAGAAGATTTAGAAGAGCTTCGCGAAGTCCCCAGCGTTCGCCGAGGATGTCTCCTCCAAGGTCTCCTTACACTAGCCACTCGTCAGTCCGTTCACCACAGTCCTCTCATAGATCTTCCTACAGATCTAGGACTCCGACATGTGACCCTACATCAGAGGAAGAAGGTATCATTTTCTCAGATGCTGAGATTAGATACTGGATGGTGAATGAGTTACAACTTGCTTCCCCATCGAAGAACGAGAATTCAACTCAGACTTACCTGATGAAGGATGATGATGTAGACAATATCACCTTACCTCCTATTGACCCGATTGCAGCGGTACCAGCTAATCTGGATACAGCCTGTTCCAAATCTTCAAAGTCCAATCTACACATTTCCCGGTCTTCAATGCCAAGAAATTTGCTGGACACAATATGGACTCCTTTTTCAAGGCCCAGGATATTGATGACAACTTTAAATTAATCAGCGATGCCAAGTCCAGAAGTTACAGAGTAGACGATCGCAAATTCGCTCAATTAGATACCATCTCCAGGAGAATGTTCTTTGGATTGAATAGATCTAGAACGATTAATGAAACTCTCATCACCAAGTTCAAGAATTCTACAGAGGAGGAAGATAGAATGATCTACTCAGCTCTACTCATGCAGAAAAGAGACCACCATTTTCTTACAGAGCACCTGTCAGCGCTTACTGAAACTACTACCATGGCTCGTCGGCAAGGCTTACTAGCCTCCTGCTCTTGGGATAAGCAATTTACAGAATCTCTATACACAGCTCCATGGTCATCGCCCTTACTGTTTGGTGGCAACATAGACAAGGTCTCCAAAGAAGTATCTAAAGACTCAAGAGAGGTTCTTATGATCAGATCCATGGATACCTTAGCGAACGTCATTAAACAGTCAACACAGAGATACTCGGGCAAGTCTAAGTTTTCGGGGCTACAGAAAGCACGGGACAAGAAATTAGCTGCAGCTAAAGATCCCAAGGATTCTTTTCGTCGCCCATACAACAAATTTAGGGGAGGATCAGCTAGAGGCAGATCATCCAGAGGTGCCCGTGGATTTAGACGATGAAATTCAGGTTCGGAACGACTGGAGTCTTCCACCCCCAGCCGTTCCAGTACAACCGTCTCAAGTGGGTGGACGCCTTCAGCTACACTGGGAAAACTGGGGAATACTACAAGATCCATATGTATCCAACATCCTACAGCACGGATATCTAATACAACTCAAGGCCAAGCCTCCGTTAACAGTCAACCCCCCAGGGTTCAACGTTCAACCGGCACAACTACCTATGTTAAGAAAAACAGTACTTACTCTACTAAACAAACAGGCCTTAGAAGTTCTGGATCAACGAAACATCGTACCAGGTTTCTACTCCCCAGTTTTCCTAGTGCCGAAGAAAATTCCAAGGAGAAGTTTTGTCTCATATACAACATGAGCATCTTCAACAGAGAATATCTATGCAAACCACCAACGTTTCGCATGATACACTTACCGCAACTTCGGCATTTAATTCGTCCCAAAGATTACATGGCCAGCATAGATTTGCAAGACGCATATCTACACATTCCGATTCATCCCAACTCAAGGAAATATCTAAGATTTATCCTAGACGGGAAACATTACCAATGGAAGGTTCTTCCCTTCGGAATCACATCGGCCCCTTGGGTATTCACAAGAGTGACCAAGCCTATTGTCTCATACCTACATCGTCAAGGTCTTAGCGCAGCGCTTTTTACCTAGACGACGGTATACAAGTGGATCCAGATCCACAGCGTCTCAGACTACAGCTGAACTTTATAATCAAGCTACTAACACAATTAGGATGGTTAGTAAATCTACTCAAGTCGGACCTAGAACCAAAGCAAGATTTGCAATTTCTAGGTATACGATTTCTAACAGCTCAGAATCGTATTGTAGTCCCGGAGGACAGATGGATCAAGATCCAACAACTTATTCCTCAAGCCCTACTCTCTCCGTTACCACTACGACAGTGGCAGAGCCTATTGGGACTACTCACATCAGCTCAAGACTTGACAGTCAGAGGCAGGCTTCAATTACGTCCGTTACAAGTCCTCATCAATGCTCATCTCGAGGACCCTCTACCATTCAGTCTACCAGATTATGTCAAACCACATCTACTCTGGTGGACCAAGAGATTGAATGTTTGCGCAGGCGTCTCCTTAGTAGAGCCGGAATCGAACACACATCTCTACGTAGACGCGTCACTACAAGGTTGGGGAGCCCACCTTGCTGGCAGGACAGCGTCAGGCCTATGGAGCAATCAAGAGAGCAAATGTCACATAAATCTGCTAGAGATGCAAGCAGTCATAAACGCCATAAGTCACTGGAGCAACATACTACAGAACGCTCAGTTGATGGTTCACACAGACAATTCAACAGTGGCGTTTTATGTGAACAAACAAGGTTCAACAAGGTCACAGAACCTACTGACTCGATGTTTCAGACTGTTCGATTTAATCGACAATCTAAACATACACGTCAGAGCTTGCCACATTCCAGGAGCAAAGAATGTATTAGCAGACGCTCTCTCTCGGCCACACCAACCGTCGCCGACAGAATGGATGCTCCACACAGAGAGATATTCAATCAAATAATCATGGAAATAGGATCTCCACTGATAGACCTATTAGCCACTCGATTCAACAAGCAACTGACAACATTAGTTATTAGCCAGTGCCAGACCCACTAGCATGGGCAACGGGCAACTAAGCATATCGTGGGCACTAAGCATATCGTGAAAGTCAAGCGCCAGAGCTCATCTGATTTTAGTAAGCGTACTGGCCAGCAAGAACTTTCCGCCTCAAGCGTTGATCCCACAAGATCTTACAGAAAATCAGTCAAACGCCAGAGAGCCTCCATCTGGATTGTATCAAGGCATGTCGCTCATTCTGCTCAAAAGCGGTCATTGCACTACGTAACTCAACTCGTAACTTATCACGATGACAAATGGCACAGTTTTGTCAATTACGCTGCTAAGAAAGGATTTACAGCCAGATATGCTACACATCCTCAAGTGGCAGATTTCTTATGTTATCTACGGCAAACTAAGAATCTAAAAGGCTCAACCTTGTCCACTTATCTTGCAGCTATAAGTTCTGTCATAACTATGCGTCAAGTTAACAAAAACACCAGAGTTACTCGCTTTGTTACGAGCGTTCCGATTGGAGGATCAGAAACGGAAGTTTCACGCTCCAGCCTGGGATCTAAATATAGTGCTCCAACACCTCACTAGTGAGGCTTATGAACCATTGCTATCTACATCGTTTGAATCACTGACCCACAAAACCTTATTCCTGTTAGCACTAGCTACGGCCGCCAGGATGTCAGAGATTCACGCATTGGATTACGAGAGAACACGCTTTGATGATATTCATAACATCGCTCATCTGGGACTTCGCTGGGATTTTATAGCGAAAAACCAACTGCCAGGTCAACCAGACAGATTATTCCACGTCCCAGCTCTCTCATCCATACTTGGACCGCATGATACGATGGATCTATCACTATGCCCAGTGAGGGCACTGAAAATATATCTCCAACGATCCAAACAGAGCAGAGGGAAATTCAAGAGATTATTTATCCCTATATCTACAGCTACGCAGACGGAAGTCTCACGTACTACGATCTCTATCTGGATCAGAACTGTCATACTACGTGCCTACAAGGCTGCAGGACTCAACCCTCCAAGAGCTTCTAATCCTCCACGAAATTAGAGCTAGCCTCAACTCTAGCTCTACATGGGAATTGCTTGTTGAATACCATAATGGAGGGATGTTTCTGGAGATCCGATATGGTGTTTGCCAACCACTATCTGAGAGATATCACCACCGAGGACGTCTCAGGTATCCACCATTTCGGTCCCATGGTCCTCGCTCAACAGTTGACAGTTCCACGGAGAAGATAAGTCTATCTTACAGATTTTATACTTATCTGATAACAGTACTAATAGCTACATGCTATCTATATATTTTGCTTAAGTTTAATTTATTATCTTAAGCTCAGTACTATGGTTTTTTATATCATACTATATATAAGCTTACAACTCCTAGGAGTTTTGCTACTATATATATGTTCAGCTTAAGTTTCATCAATCCTTAAGCTCAGTCATATGGTCATATGCATAAATGTATTAGCTAACAAACTCTAAGGAGTTGGTTACTATTATACAGCTTAAGTTATAATTATATCTTAAGCACAGTACTATACTATTATAGCTTAAATATATGCATATCTTAAGCTTAATACTTTGGTTAATTTATAAAAGTATCCACTATAAACTCACAGAAGTTTATACTATCACATTAATAGCTTCAGCTTACATTAATGTTGTATATACTTTATCATATTCAATAAATTGTAATAACCTTTATATGGCAGCTGATAAGTTAAACAGCAGGAATTCATCAGTTCAGTGCCTTTATGAAGTTCCCATAGGGTTATTACAATCATCACAGTTCAAATCACTAATTATTAAAATCCAAAGTATATATATTCCCACCTCCTTTTCCGTCGGATTCTACAAGCAATAAGCATGAGTCAGGATAAGGAAAAATATGAAATTTTTAGAGTAAAATTAATATTTTATACTTATCCTGACTCATGAGGTAAGCCCTCCCGTCCTCCCCACTTAACACTTTGGATTTCTTCGGAAAAATAAAGTGTCGGGCTCGAAACAAAAGGAGAGAGTGAGGCACATGGGTTCAGGTGGCGCCCTCGTTCACGCGCTTGTGGAAGGGAGGTAACTCGTGGTGAGTACTAATTAGTGATTTTTTAATTGAAGGGAAGGGAACTTCAATTGGGAGATACACGTGTTCCACTATGTTCGCAAGAAGAAGAAGACAAGCAATAAGCATGAGTCAGGATAAGTATAAAATATTAATTTTACTCTAAAAATTTCATAATTCAGTTAGATGTTTGGATTTTGTATTTGAAAGTCTTTGAACTTTTTAATGTGTAGAATATAATGTTATGTAACAAACTATGTTTCACAGGGGACTTACAGAAAGACAGGGAGACCTTACGGTGTCTGATGGGTGAGAGTCGTGATGAGCAGGAGCGAAGGATGAGAGAAAGGCTGGAGAAGAGGAAGCAGCGGCTGGCGGAGGGTGAGTCCAGGAGGAGGAGGACTTCTCATGTACGTGGTGTCAGTTAGGCTGTTGTATGAGACTGAATCAACAAACTCTTTAATTACCAGGTTTGAAGGCAAGTAACTCTTTGATATAATTGGATATGGCATACTGTTTTGCCTACATTTTTATGTGAACATATTTTAAATATTTAAAACAGGTTAGGAAGTACTGCCCTGATTAGTCGGTTAATACATTGAAAACATAGCTCTCGTTGTTGTACTTGGAATTCCATTCTTTGTATGGCAGACCCATTTTCTGGTGAAATGATCTTGATATGGTTCAGCTTTTACAATTATGTGGGCCAGTCATATTCAAGTGAAGGGTTTAATCTCAGTGAGCAGTACAATCCCATATCGATGTTAACTGGGTTGTGATGGGTTAAAACATTATCCAACACAGGCCCCGGGCATGAGTGTTTCTTTGCTCATGAAAGAGGTAATGACTCCTTATTATGCACAAAATTATCATCATAAACCCATGGTACATCTTTCTTAAACAAATACATATTTACAAATCATTGACTAGAATGTTTATGCATCAAATCATTTTCTTTATTGTCACCGAAGTAATGAAAAAAATTAACTTTAAATTGTATATTTTAAATACTTATCCTATCTCGCATTATGCACTTTCCCCTGTTCTTACATATGTGGAATGGAAACAACCTGAAACAAAGTGTTGAGCCTCTCGTAACACCAACAAACATACACCCAGCTCCAGCTATTATTGTAGGTTGTCACCAGTAGTCCCTGTAAAACATAAGTCTTGCTCTGGCCAACAAGTAACACAAAACTGAAGTCATTCTCTTGTGATGGAGATGGAACCAATCTTGTAATCTGTGTAGAGGATCACACCATTTAATATTGTGAACCTATCTCATCAATGACCACTACTTCACCCTCCTTAGGCTTTGCGTTCATCTACAGTCAACTCGAACTGGAGCACTTATAAAATCATACACAATTTGGATTTGGAATTCATACTCTTACTTAGTCTATCATTCACTCAAACAGTTCTAAATTTAACAGTACTTGTACAGTACTTGTGCACTGAACTGTAAACTATAAGTAATGTCACATGACACACATGAAGATCACTGATGAGTCTTGCTGATGTATCAACCTTGTGTGTGTACAACTCACTCCAGGAGCAATACTGTCTCAGCGTCCTTCCCTCACTTTAGGCATCATGTTACCATGTTGAAGTCATGGCACTTATATGTGACAGTGTCATATCTCTGACTGTGTCTCAGGGACCTGAGGTCAAACTTCCTGGGGCTGTAACATGGTTGTGGTACTGTAAGAACTTTCTCAAATCACTTCTTTGTGTAGCCTTTAGAAGCTGGTGTGATGAACAATGGGAATATAGATATTCAACCAAGGATATCATTCTGTATTCTAATTTGAACTTGGATACATTTCTGTTAACTTGTGTACATATCTGTTATGCTACTTCTGTAAGAGTCCAGTATGTGGCCCAGGATTGACACGTCTCAATGCAGAATACGTACATTATATCTTTCTGCACAAACTCTGGTTGTACCAAACCCTTGTAGTGTGTTTATGGAAACTGTCCAGAAACTAGCAGTGTCCTGTGCTTGTGTGCAGGTCTCAGCTCGGAGGAGTGCGACCGACTGGAACAGGAAGATGTCCAGAGGGAAGAGACAGAAGACAAAAACAAAAATGTCCTGCAGCAGATGGAACAAAGGATTGAAGAGGTGAGCAAACAGAAACAGCGGAATCATAGAAAGTGGAGAAGCTGTAAGATGAAATTAGGTTACAGTAAGTAAGTACTATATTCATCCCATCTGAAACCCATTACAATCTCAGTTCAGGTCAGTATGGACTGGAAACATGTTATGTTTATCCCTGTTCTAGTGTTGTATATACTTGAGCTCTTTTGCTGTCATTTTATTAGAGTAGGCCAAGATTTCATTGATTGTGACTACCTGGTGTCTTCTGCCATTGACCCAGTAATTCTTTCTTGGCTCATTCTTCAGAGTCAGAGTACCATGTTCAATACAGATCTGACATTGACATGACAGAGATATTAAAATTCATGGGTGATTTCTCACAATAAACAACCTTTTTAGGCTTTGGCAATCATGCCAAGCTTTTACATAAGTTATAGGTATAAGTGGTGCAAAATTTAAATGAAATAAGATATGTGTGTATTGTCATCAGTTGTAGCAGCTTTTTATGAATAGAAATATATGTTATAAACATCATGTATTTTGAGCATGATATTTCATTATAAAGACATTACTCATCTCCAGTATTTAAATATGGTATACATAACCGATGGTACTACACACTGACAAAAACATTCTGAGATATAACTATTGGTGCACACATTTGTTGTTATTAAGACGTGTTACTGAGATTTGAACCACTCAGAATGAACCATTATTTCTGAATAACCTTATGTATCAAGTTATAAGGACATACATGTTGTTGGGGTATTCCAGGAGAAGGCATCCCTACTCAAGCAGCTGGTCCAGTCTGGAGATGAAATGGAGAAAGCGAGGCGCCAGGCTGCTCTTGCCCGTCTCCGACTGGAACAACGCCGTGTTAAGCCAGGAAGAGAATTTTGATTCCGCTGCTCTCATGTTAGGTCTAGTGGAGGAGCAGGGAGAGAAGTGAGTAGCTGGGAGATGGTGTTGTACTTCTACTACTGAAATATATGTGTTGTGTACCATTACTGAAGTGTAGAATCAGTTACACTTCAAATATTCTATTTTACAGAGTTCAGTCTCACAAGAGTGAGGCGTGCCCGACAGGAGAGGCTGGCTCATGACCGTCTGGAAGCAGCAAGGCGCCGGCCCAGGCCAAAGCCTCTGCCAGCATGTAGATGATGTAGATGTAGATGTGGACACAGTAATGGACAATGACCTGATGATGAAGTTGATGGAGGTTGTTGACAAGAAGCACCAGGCAGAGAGGGCTGTTTTCATACAGGTACACACTACCAACTCAAACTACATCTTGTATGAGGGCTTATCTCTTTGTCACGTTCCAGTTGTTCTATTGTGTATCAAATGATGCTGATGAAATACTGCCGCTGCTTGGTTCACACACAAGACCTGATCTATGGCTTACAGATGAGCTGGTCTAAAGACGGAATACTCTCAAGTGCCTTGGAGTGTTTTAGTTCCTAAATCATATTGGGCATTATACAAATTTGTATATTATAATGCACAATATTGAGAAGAATGTCTATGTAATTCCTCATGTAGCATAAAAATATCAATGAAAAAGTAACTTAAGAAAATTATGATAGAATATTTTGCTGCCTGTAGTGTGCAGACGATAACTCCAGCGGAGGAAACACACTAGCAAGCATGAGCACAGAAGACCTGAAGGAGAGGCTGGATGTTCTCCAAGGATTTAGAGAAGGCTGGCGCAAATCTGAAATAAAGCCTCCACAAGAACAGACAGTGATATTTCAGGTATAGTGACACAGTTTGGGCTGCTAACATTGGGATATGATGGCATGTGATGGCCCTTTGGGGGATGTCATATCATGATGTTATAGTTCTACTAGTGAGTGAGTTCGGTTTAACGCCAATTTTGGTGGTTATTGTATTATGTAAACTTTATATGGGTGGGAAGTGGGATGTGAAACAGGTCTTTGACCTTTGGTGAATCCCACTTGCAGATGTGTGATGCAGACAACATTCAAACCCACAATCAGAGGGTTCGAATATGAACAAAGGAAGCTCAGTGAATTGCATTGCCTTCATCACCCAGACCATATGTGCCTCCTGGTCTAAGGAAAGGAGAGCTGATACAAACTATATGAAATGAATCCAATGTGTTATCACCAATATCATAAAACTCCCTGTCATAAGATGCTTTAGACATGTACAGTGCTACAGCAGACGGACACTGTAAACAGGACATCACAGTGTATAACAGAGCAGTGTCAGTCTCCACTATGTATTCAATGACAGATCCAACACATCTTTTATCTTCACTTACATTAAACACTTCTGGTTGGGTAGAGAACAGACAATTATTTTCCTTGCGGACAGGCAGGATGCAGGACACTTAGTGTTGGCTGGGAAATCAATCAGAACACATCTTTGGCAATTTCTGTATATTTATATTTCACATAAATGTTCTTAGATTCTGAAGTGAAACAATGCTCATCTGAGTGCATTTGGTTAAGGGAAATAACTTGGTTCATTTTCATTGTGTTAACTCAGAGCAGAGACCACAAGAGAATATGATATCTATCTGGACCTGTATGAATGAATGTTGGCAGAAGGTATTTGTTGTCCTCCGATCCCTCCAAGCAAGGTGTTGGATGTATCCTGTGTGAGTGTATATACCCACTGCCTCAAACACAGATGTCCTCCGATCCCTCCAAGCAAGGTTTTGATGTATCCTGTGTGAGTGTATATACCCACTGCCTCAAACACAGATGTCCTCCGATCCCTCAAGCAAGGTGTTTGATGTATCCTGTGTGAGTGTATATACTCATTGCCTCAAACACAGATGTCATCTGACCATGAACTCTGAGTGAGTGAGTGAGTGAGTTTAGTTTTCACGACTCAGCAATATTCCAGCTATATGGCGGTCTGTAAATAATCGAGTCTGGACCAGACAATCCAGTGATCAACAGCATGAGCATCGATCTGCGCAATTGGGAACCGATGACATTTGTCAATCAAGTCAAGCTGAAACTGACCACCCGATCCGTTAGTTAGCCTCTTACGACAAGATAATTAAGCCTTGTTATGGCAAGCACATGGGTTGCTGAAGACCTATTCTACCCGGATCTTCACGGGTCACCATGAACTCTGGCGTTGGCAACTTAAAATACATCTGCACAACAGAATTAGATTACACATGATATTAATGACTGGTGTTTCAGTTTGTTACATCAAACATAATGAAGAGGTAAATTGTTTAACTTATACTATATCACGGTATGCACTTCTCTCTGTACTTTGACCAAAGTGGAAATGTCCTGTAGGCTAAGTTGAATCCAGTCTTCTGGCCTCTTACTCCCCGACCTCTCCCCCCACTCCTCCAGCTGGACCTGTCAATCATCTCTGTAAAGCATGCTAGGCGCTCAGAAGGTCATGTGACATCCCACTACTGTCATTCTCGTCTTGGAGCTTCAAGACTGTGATGTGGGGAAGGTTGGGTGGGGATCCATCAGCGTGAGTGAGTGAGTTTAGTTCCACGCTGCACTCAGCAATATTCTAGCTATATGGCAGCTGTCTGTAAATAATCGAGTCTGGACCAGACAATCCAGTGATGGACAGCATGACACCGATCTGCGCAATTGGGAACCAATGAGATATGTCAACCAAGCCAGCAAGCCTGACCACTTGATCCCGTTAGTCGCCTCTTACAACAAGCATGGGTTACTGAAGGTTCATTCTAACCCGGACCCTCATGGGTGTCCATCATGTGAGATATGATAAGTATATAAATATACAATTTATAGTTAAAGTTTCCAAATTTGTCTTGTGCAATGAACACATTCCTACTGTTGACATAAAATCTTCAGTTGTCTCAACAATATCATTTGATGTGTCATTTTGCACTGAGAAATTGTAGGCATTGCATGTAAACAGTAATATCAGAAAATACCAAGCCATGAAGAAGATCAGTACTGTGGAACCATGAGTAGCTAGTTGCAGTCAGACGTCATTATCTTACAGCGTGAATGCACCTGATCATGTGAAAGTATGTGAAAGAAATGTGCTGGTGGCTGGTGACTTTTCCATACCTGATGCCCCAATTATGATGGGAGTGCATATGTAATATTTATCCATTCTCATTAACGCAACTATCTATGTCTCTTCTTGAAACAAGGATGATTCTATTGTGATTGCAGGAAGCCATTTGCTGTGTCATAGAGCTGAAGAATCGACAAGATAAGCAGGAGGAAGGTGTGCACTGTGATCATGTGATATCCCTTCTGGCAGACCTCCAACAGCACCAGGGCCATGACATGAGCCACATCCTAACACGTGTCCAGAAACAGGTGACAGTTACAGCTTTGTTGTCTGCAGTGATACCGTGTGTCTGTCATCTGTATTGACTACAGGTCAGACAAGTCGGACAGTCTTACTGCAAAGTATTACCCTTTATATTCCATGTTTATCAAGTAAGCTAAAATGGTAGGCAAAATAAAAATGTTTATTTGTTTTTCACATTCATGTAAGGATAACTGAAAACAAAATTGGGATTTCACTAACGCAGATAAATTAAAAAGTACTTTATAGAGACCGATGCAGAGTTCGATGGCAAGATAATTTTCCTTTTGTCAGGAGTCAAGTGTGATTCGGGAAGAACTGAGGGTTGCTGTGGAGGCAGTGACCAAGTGCTATCATGACAATGTGGCAGCTGTGTTGTTTCCGACGCGTTAATACGACCAGAAGAGTTCTAGTGATGAGCTGGTCCAGGAGTTGGATCACAAGTATGATGCCTTGAGAGACAAACTTGTCATTGAGGTATGTCTGTTATATATGTGTATGTATCACACTGAGAGGATGATTATTAAGACTGATTACATTCAAAGATTCATTACCCGTTTATTTGATAACCTTGAAACCGTGACATTTTACAATATATTTAATGAAATTATTAACATCTCGATTAAGTGTCACTGCCACAGAAAATCTAATGTACTGAAAGCTCTGGTTTCTTTAAGTAGGGAATGGATTACTAATAACACTCTCATTATCACTTATCATTATCACTTAACATCAGGTGTATCTCCAAATAAGTAACTGATTATGTTTGAAAAATAATCAAAGAAAGACGCTCAGTTAACCAATACCCAGGTGGAAAGTTTCCTTGACAAAGCTATTGGTTTATTGGTGTAAATGCAACTCCCTTGTGTCATGTACCAGGCCTTGTTGAAGCAGTATGGGCATGTGCAGTGGTCTCACATGACAGAGCAGGAACGCCAGACACACATCATACAGAAGCCTGGAGGAACGCGGCGACTTACATGAGAGCTGGAAAAATTGATGAGGTCAACCTGCTGCTTGGCAAATACCTTGAGGAAAAGAAAGGTTATTTTCTACAGAGACAGACTGCAGTGATATCTTCTTGAATAACCACTCTCTGAAAAACAAGCTGTCTTGATTATCATTTGTTGTCTGTGGAATCAGAAAGAATACATTATATAATAAACTAGACCCAGTTTTGAAATAATGTAACAACTTTTGTGTTTTAATTGCTAAGTAGTGTCATGGTGTAATACTGAAAGCTGATGTGCCAGAAGTTATCCTAGTTGGCCACTAAACCATATTGTTTTTCCCATTGCCCTAATTGAAGCAGAGATATGTTTTTTTTCAACAGCCAAATTCTAACTAGGGCTTTTTAAAATTAATTGTAGTTGCTTCAACACTGTATGAATTCAGAGACTGAGAGGTTGTCTAAAGTTATCCATATACCGGTACCCCTATTCAGCTAATGAGAGTTCTGAGGAACAAGGCATGAGGTTTCAATATCCTCAGAAAAACATTGAACAAATCCTGGAGCCTTTAACCCTTATCTGACTGAAGCAAGACAGAGGGGTAGCTGGTTTATCTTCTGTTTGTTCCTGAGGGCCTCTCTATGTTAGGGAATGTTTTGACTGTATGTTCCTTGCCCACTCAAAGGTCTGGAAGAGATGCTGAGTGAGTCGCAGGATGTACAGAGAAGGAGGATGGAGGCACGGATGGAGAGGCGGAGACAACTACGAGAAAGAAAGACATGATAAGGGCATGGCTGCAGATGAAGAACTTCTTGACAGCATCTTGGAGGAAGAAGAGGAAAAGAGTTCAGAGAAAAAAAAGGTACCGGGTAAGCATTGCCTGACAGTAGCTATTGCACAGTCATTAAGTTGACATTCTAGTTAGGCTGGTGTTGGGGTTTTCATCTGTCACTGACCTTAGTGTGTTTCTTTTAAATCATCATTCTTTGCTCACAAAGAGTGAAGATAAATGTAATTTTGAGCACTTTTAAATATGGCAGTTTTATTTCTTAACTTTCTACATTTTTCTCAAACTGAATTCAGGGATTAACCTGAAACTTTGAAATGACTTGTGTGATGATAGAATGTTTCTTATCCTGCCACATTACCGTCTCATTTACTCTTTGATGAGGTGGAGAAGATAAAAACCTAGATGCCTTAGTACGAGAGTTTCGTCGTGGTATTCTGTGGGAGAATGTGAATGTGTTGAATGGTCATCATGTGTAACCATGGTAATCCTATTGGCGTTCCCAGTGCAGGAACATCACTTGGATGGAATATAAGTCCACAGATGTGCACTAAACCATGAGAACAGGAGAGACTTCAACTGTCTTGTTATGAGAACATTTTGTTATGTCATCAAGGCATGGAAACACCTGATGTCATCATCAATCCTAGTATCTGGTACACCACAGTCAATAGCGTACATTCAGCAGCAAGAAGAAAAAAGATCTGAGACACACTTTTATTGATGTTGGGAGACCTGGTCTGCTGCTGGGGTTAGGCAAGCAGTGGCAATATCATGGAGATATTTTTCATTTGCTCTTTTCAACAGTAGATTCGATAAATTTGACCAGTGCCGAACACAAGGATTTCTGAACGTACCTATATGGTATATGGTATAGTTACCTGTATAATAGTGATATCTCAAAATGATGAAATGTATGTAATCTAAATTAAAATACCTATGGTAGCTAATAAATCATTAGCAAGATAAGAAGTCATCAGACCATGAGTACTTCGTGGTGTGAATATTTTGATCATGATGTGGAAATCTGTTGGAATTTATATGGGGTATTATCTGCTGTTTGTTAAACCAGTAACTTGAAACCTATTGCCTGGATTGTAATCAACTTTGGGGCCACCATCCTTGTATATAGGAAAGGTACAGTGCAAAATTTGAATGAAATGTTTTAATTCTTTTGAAGAATTACAGCAATTTAAATCAATAAATAACTCGAAAATCATTGCTCACATTTTTTTTGGCTTGTTCATTTGACTGTCTTACTTCAATCACATCTCTTGAGAACAGTTCTTTCATTTCTCTTGAAACCTTTACAGTACACGCATATCGTTCATATCAAACATTATGTACATTCCCTAATCAGTATGAAATCTCTAGACAGTGTAAAAAGTTATTTCAAGCTATTTCTCTGTAACTTGTAATAGTTATAATGGATAAAATGTTATTTGTAGAATATCCTTGAGACACTGGAGGTTCAGTATGAGGAGGAAAGGGCTGCTTTACTGGCTCTCCTTGGAGCACAGGAAGACCAGATGCAGCAGGAGCGGAAAAAGCAGGCAGCTATTGCAAAACTTCGGCGTGATCAGAAGCTTCTGCAGAAAGAGGATGATCTGGATTCTGCCTGCCTTGTTTTCAGTATTGGGCAGCAAGCAATGAGTGACCATGAAAATAGGTAGGCATTTCCATGTCTGCTGTATATCTGTATGACATGCCTGAAACTTATCATTTCTTCAGCCATTTGCTAGGAGCAAACTTTAGCTTCAGATTGCTTTGCATTTGATCCATGCACCAATAATATATCTTTAGTCGATTGTAAACATTTAAATCTACAGTATTGCCATTTAAGCCACTTGTGCTACAATGCTGAAACTCTTAAGTAAGATGATCCCCGCAAAGTGGTGAAACAACACGTTTAGGAGTTTTCAAATTGGCCACATCGTCAGCCATTTTAACAATGTAATTTGACCCATTTACGTGGCCATTGGCATATTATGCCACTAATCAGCAGTAAGTATCAGGTGTGTGGAATAGCATGTGTCTTTGTGGAATGTATACTGAACCACAATAGAAATGTTGCACCAATAACTGTTTCTTAAAGCACACACTTTAATTAACAATCAAAACGGAGGATTGAGTTCAAACTGGACAATTATTGATAACAATTTTTCGGGAATTACATTTAGAGTTTCACACAAGCAAAATCACCAAAAATGGTAGCATTAAGATACCCCAAAGTCAGTATTGTGTGTGGCCTCCATGGGCATCGATGAAAGCATTGCATCGTCTGTACATGGAATGAATATGCCGGTTGATGAAGGCCATAGGCACTTGGGTCCATACTCTGCAAAATGCCTGATCAAGTCCTGCCGCAGTTGTCGGCTAGAGGTCATTCAGTTTTCTTTGAATCTTGTCCCAAAGGTGTTCTATTGGACTTAAATCCAGTCTGAGTGCAGGCTATTGTATGGTTTGGATGCCATGTTGTCTTAGGAAGTCCAATGTTGCTCTGGCAGTGTGGGCAAGTACGTTGTCTTGCTGGAAGATGGGATTTCTGTAACGTCATTTCCTCATCCAGGACCAAGATTCTGGAACACCACGGTGTCAACTAACTGGTCTAGACTGATTGCACCCCACACCATGATGCTTGGACACACCCCACGAGTCTCTTTCAACAATACACTCATAGGAAAACAGTTCCCCATGCCTTCACCATACTCTCACTCTGCCATCGACTGTCGAAACACAATATCGGTTTCATGAGATAAAAGCACAGTTCTCCATTGCCGATATTGCCAATTTCGATACTGAGTTGCCCATTTGGTCGGTTTTGGCAGTGAGGACAGGACTACTATATGATCCATGACAGCAGAGGTTTCTTCCCTGTAAATGTCGACGCACTGTATCAGCACTGATGGGTCTGTTGTGAGTCCCAGTCGTCTGGCGTGCTGTTTCCGTTGCTCAGGGGAAGCGATCCTTCAGATGGTTGCACACAGTCTGTCGGTCTTGACATTGTGATGTTACTGAAGGTCGCCCACTGCGTGGACGGTCTTGGATGCTGTTAGTGACCTGATACCACTCCGGCAGTCAGTAGATTGTCCTAACATGAATATTCAAATGATTGGCTACCCTCCGTGCCGTCTGGACAACTTTCACTCGTCCCCAGACTTGGTTCCTCTGATCTCTCGTAAGTCGTGGCATGGTGATTGTGTCAAAACAAAAATGATTTCAGGCGAGTTTGGGACTCACTTTCATTGGTAGGGTTGTCATTGCATGCACGTGCACCTTGTAAGAACAAAATTTTGCATTTGATTTTGAAAGGCGATGTTCCTTTTGTGGTTTAGTATATATAATACTGAACCCTTCTGTGATGATCTACCATGATCTTTTAACATGTTTCATTGTCACATTTACAACCACATGATTTCTCTCATATTTGATTCTGCTGATAGTGGCTGAAAATGTCATTCAGCCACTGATGCTGGTATTCATGTATCAATATCTACTAGGTGGAACTGGAGAATGGCTAGAATGTCACGAAGTGGAAATGGAACTAGCCTGGAGAACGTGAACCTAATACATTAGCAAAAACACACCAATGTATAGTCAAAGCATTCATTTATTGGGAAATTGTGGGTGTGGAAATGCATAACAAAAAATGTTTACAAAATTATTATCCTTGGTTTTTAAAACTAAATAAGGGTGCTTTTGCTTTCACCAAAGAGGTAAAACATCAAGACCTTCATTGTACTTCTTCCTACACCTAGCTCACACACTGAGAAATAACTAGCTTGTGTTAAAACCAAGTTACTGATTTATCCTAACATGATGTTCACAGCCCTGTGCACTACTTAATTCTGTTCAGTGATCCCACATTTTACTGAGCTGGGTCAGAAACCCAGGTTTGTTCATGGCCCATTAGTTTGTCATCACTGAGCAGTCATTTCACAGTTGCAGATATTCTTTAATGTTTCAACTAAAAAACTTAAACTTGAAATGAACATTCCTAACAACAAATTACTATGTTACAAACATTTCACACCAAGCGTGCTGAAAGTTTGTTAACAAAGAAAGTTTAGTGAAAGTCATGACCCGCTACATAGAATATTGAGCTGACCAGGACTCAAGGTCCAGGTGAGAATATGGCATCAGATATTGGTTTTCATCCCATCAGTCTGTCCACTGACTTACACTGAAAGCTGACTGAAGGGTAAGAAGATATTAAGTCTTCAGAAACCTCGGAAGGTTATCTCCTCAGAACCAACAAGGCCCATGAATCTACAGGTGTGATAGGGAGCAGCACTAGGGTTCAGACTATCAGAAAAATTCACAGTAAAAATGTTTAAGAATCTTTCTCACAGAAGCATACTACTGAAAAACATCTTTGTTTTTGAGAAGACTGAATGAACATTGCAAAATATAACATGTTGCCCATGTTCCAATACCTTTTATTCCAACTCTCACCATTGTAGTTTCACACGTGAACGTGAACGGCAAAAACAGCTGGCTCAAGATCGACTGAATGCTCTCAGGAAAAGAGAGAAGGGAAAACACCTGGAAGAGGATTTAGAGGGTCTCACAGAAGTGCTGGAAAATGAGAAGCTAACAAACAGAATTGGTATGAGTCAATCCATATATGAAAACAGTCCATTCGAAAACATTACTATATCCATTTTCTTTAACATCTGCTGATGTATCTGAATGATATTTGTGTTGGAATACATGTTTTGGTTTTGTGTGGCATGGTTGGTTTAACACCTTTTCTAAAGTCTGATACATGTACATGCAAAGATTTAAGACCAGTGGGAATGTATTCCCCCAAACCACTGCATGCCTGTATGTTACACTCAGCAGTAGAGCAGCAGTTGTTAGGGGACATGGATGAGCTGTAGTAGGATGATTGTTGACTGTTGTATGTTACAGACACAGAAGTAGAGCAGCAGTTGTTAGGGGACATGGATGAGCTGTAGTAGGATGATTGTTGACTGTTGTATGTTACAGACACAGAAGTAGAGCAGCAGTTGTTAGGGGACATGGATGAGCTGTAATAGGATGATTGTTGACTGTTGTATGCTACAGACACAGAAGTAGAGCAGCAGTTGTTAGGGCACATGGATGAGCTGTAGTAGGATGATTGTTGACCGTTGTATGCTACAGACACAGAAGTAGAGCAGCAGTTGTTAGGGGACATGGATGAGCTGTAGTAGGATGATTGTTGACTGTTGTATGTTACAGACACAGAAGTAGAGCAGCAGTTGTTAGGGGACATGGATGAGCTGTAGTAGGGATGATTGTTGACCGTTGTATGTTACAGACACAGAAGTAGAGCAGCAGTTGTTAGGGGACATGGATGAGCTGTAGTAGGATGATTGTTGACCGTTGTATGTTACAGACACAGAAGTAGAGCAGCAGTTGTTAGGGGACATGGATGAGCTGTAGTAGGATGATTGTTGACCGTTGTATGTTACAGACACAGAAGTAGAGCAGCAGTTGTTAGGGGACATGGATGAGCTGTAGTAGGATGATTGTTGACTGTTGTATGCTACAGACACAGAAGTAGAGCAGCAGTTGTTAGGGGACATGGATGAGCTGTAGTAGGACGATTGTTGACTGTTGTATGTTACAGACACAGGAGTAGAGCAGCAGTTGTTAGGGGACATGGATGAGCTTGTAGGACGATTGTTGACTGTTGTATGTTACAGGAGTAGAGCAGCAGGTTAGGGGACATGGATGAGCGTCACAGGGAGGAGAGGGAGGTTCTTGCACAACTGCTACAGGCTGCGTCAACCGACACGCCCACTCAGAAAAGTGCTAAGAAACATAAGATTGTTCAGGTAAGGCTTTTGTTTATTGCATGATCTTTCGAATTGAGTGCCTCAAACTAAATTTATCCTGATTACAAACTCAGCAGTAATTGAATACCCAAACTGATGTGATGCTGTCACAGTGTTTTACACACAGAGATAACCTTGTGTGAGATCTATGTTAGTAACTTGTAGTTCAAGTCAGTGACAAAATTATATCTGGGTGCAAACAGTAAATGTTTGTTATTTTTCTCAACTTTTCAAGAACTTCAATTATAAACCACCTTGCACATAAGTGTAGACATTTCTTTCCTACCCACCATTGAAGCATCTATGCGAAAACTTACTGGTGGATCCAAGGAGGATGGTCCATTGGGAAGCATTGTACTTGTAGATCCAAGGCATGGGGTAGGTCCAGTGGGAATCATTGTACTGGTGGATCCAAAATGTGGGGTTAGTCCATCATTAACCATCTTACTGATGGTTCGAAGGGATAGGTAGGCTAGTGAGAGCTATTGTACTGGAGGATCAAAGGGGTGGTGTAGGTCCAGTAGGAGCCATTGTACTGGGGGATATAAGGGATAGGTAGGCTAGTGAGAGCTATTGTACTGGAGGATCAAAGGGGTGGTGTAGGTCCAGTAGGAGCCATTGTACTGGGGGATATAAGGGATAGGTAGGCTAGTGAGAGCTATTGTACTGGAGGATCAAAGGGGTGGTGTAGGTCCAGTAGGAGCCATTGTACTGGGAGATGTAAGGGATAGGTAGGCTAGTGAGAGCTATTGTACTGGAGGATCAAAGGGGTGGTGTAGGTCCAGTAGGAGCGATTGTACTGGGAGATGTAAGGGATAGGTAGGCTAGTGAGAGCTATTGTACTGGAGGATCAAAGGGGTGGTGTAGGTCCAGTAGGAGCGATTGTACTGGGAGATGTAAGGGATAGGTAGGCTAGTGAGAGCTATTGTACTGGAGGATCAAAGGGGTAGTGTAGGTCCAGTAGGAGCGATTGTACTGGGGGATATAAGGGATAGGTAGGCTAGTGAGAGCTATTGTACTGGAGGATCAAAGGGGTGGTGTAGGCCCAGTATTAACCATCTTACTGGTGGATCTAAGGGATGGGATAGGTAGGTCCCGTTGGAAGCATTGTGCTGGTGGATCCAAGGGGTGGTGTAGGTCAAGTAGGAGCGATTGTACTGGGGGATATAAGGGATAGGTAGGCTAGTGAGAGCTATTGTACTGGAGGATAAAGGGGGTGGTGTAGGTCCAGTAGGAGCGATTGTACTGGGAGATGTAAGGGATAGGTAGGCTAGTGAGAGCTATTGTACTGGAGGATCAAAGGGGTAGTGTAGGTCCAGTAGGAGCGATTGTACTGGGGGATATAAGGGATAGGTAGGCTAGTGAGAGCTATTGTACTGGAGGATCAAAGGGGTGGTGTAGGCCCAGTATTAACCATCTTACTGGTGGATCTAAGGGATGGGATAGGTAGGTCCCGTTGGAAGCATTGTGCTGGTGGATCCAAGGGGTCGAGTAGGTCCAGTAGGAGCCATTGTACTTGGGGATATAAGGGATAGTAGACTAGTGAGAGCTATTGTACTGGAGGATCAAAGGGCCGGTGTAGGTCCAGTAGGAGCGATTGTACTGGGGGATATAAGGGATAGGTAGGCTAGTGAGAGCTATTGTACTGGAGGATCAAAGGGGTGGTGTAGGCCCAGTATTAACCATCTTACTGGTGGATCTAAGGGATGGGATAGGTAGGTCCCGTTGGAAGCATTGTGCTGGTGGATCCAAGGGGTGGTGTAGGTCAAGTAGGAGCGATTGTACTGGGGGATATATAAGGGATAGGTAGGCTAGTGAGAGCTATTGTACTGGAGGATAAAGGGGGTGGTGTAGGTCCAGTAGGAGCGATTGTACTGGGAGATGTAAGGGATAGGTAGGCTAGTGAGAGCTATTGTACTGGAGGATCAAAGGGGTAGTGTAGGTCCAGTAGGAGCGATTGTACTGGGGGATATAAGGGATAGGTAGGCTAGTGAGAGCTATTGTACTGGAGGATCAAAGGGGTGGTGTAGGCCCAGTATTAACCATCTTACTGGTGGATCTAAGGGATGGGATAGGTAGGTCCCGTTGGAAGCATTGTGCTGGTGGATCCAAGGGGTCGAGTAGGTCCAGTAGGAGCCATTGTACTTGGGGATATAAGGGATAGTAGGCTAGTGAGAGCTATTGTACTGGTGGATCTAAGGGATGGGATAGGTCCTTTAGGAGCCATTGTACAGGGGGACATAAGGGATAGGTAGGTCCAGTGAGAGCCATTGTACTGATAGCTCCCGTCGGAAGCATTGTGCTGGTTGATCCAAGGGGCGGGGTAGGTCCAGTAGGAGCCATTGTGCTGGTTGATCCAAGGGGCGGGGTAGGTCCAGTAGGAGCCATTGTGCTGGTGGATCCAAGGGGCAGGGTAGGTCCAGTAGGAGCCATTGTGCTGGTGGATCCAAGGGGCAGGGTAGGTCCAGTAGGAGCCATTGTGCTGGTGGATCCAAGGGGCAGGGTAGGTCCAGTAGGAGCCATTGTGCTGGTGGATCCAAGGGGCAGGTAGGTCCAGTAGGAGCCATTGTGCTGGTGGATCCAAGGGGCAGGGTAGGTCCAGTAGGAGCCATTGTGCTGGTGGATCCAAGGGGCAGGGTAGGTCCAGTAGGAGCCATTGTGCTGGTGGATCCAAGGGGCGGGGTAGGTCCAGTGTTATAAGGGATGGGTACGTCAAGTAGGACCTATGGTGCTGGTGGATCCAAGGGGTGGAATAAGTCCAGTGGGATCCATTGTACTGATGGATCCAAGGGATGGACTAGGTCCAGTAGGAGCCACTGTACTGGGGGATATAAGGAACAGGTGAATGAGTGAGTGAGTGAGTTTAGTTTTATGCCACAACTCAGCAAAGTTCCAACTATATGGTAAATAATCGAATCTGGACCAGACAATCCAGTGATCAACAGCATGAGCATTGATGTACAGGACATGTGTCAACCACCCAATCACATTAGTTGCCTCTTACGACAAGCATGGGTTACTGAAGATCAATTCTAACCCGGATCTTCACAGGGCATAAGGTTTAGGTAGGTCCAGTGGGAGTACAATCTTGTAAACTTACTCTCTCTTGATGCTGGAAAGTCATGTATGGCTTGATTCTCTCTCTCCATCCTCATGTGTCTACCTTTGTTTTTGATAAGCACCAACACAAAGTTAGTCCCTGCTCTGTATCCCTGTACTACCCCATCCAAGTTGAGTCGTAAGTCATTATTGGAAACCATGGTTTGTGACTGTTATTATTCCAGGAGCTGAAAAAGCAGTTAGCTAGTCTCCAGCAAGAACACAGCAAGTGGCTGAACAAAAGCCGTCAAGCAGTACTAAGTGAAGGCCAGTCCACCTCACGAGACACAGCAAAAAGAAGAAGTGAACAGTTCCAGCTCCTGAAGAAGGCCCTGATATACAGACTAGAAGGTCTTTAACTGAGATTACTCAAGTACAATACACTCAGGGATACTACTTCCTCTCACATTGGGGGGTGCATTGGTACAGATGTTATATACCTTCTACCATGACAACTCTACGTTACATTAGTATGCCTCTGATCAATACAACTAGACTAACCACTGGGTTACCATGGAAGCTTCTATGTATGGCAAGGAAGTCTGAGTTCTGATTGCAAGGCAGCTTCAAAGGATATTGTTGTTTATGGAATATTAAAAGTATGTGTGGTCAGTATGACTGTCTACTTTATTGTTACATGTATCTGCATACAGTAGCTATTAAACAGTCTTATTGCCTCATACACATGAGCAAAGACTTTTGATTCAAATCCATAAATGAGTAACGTGCACTGCTTGAAGGATACTATCAGTGATACTATGTCTGTGTATTGGCCAAGCCAGGTGATAGCTACAGGCAATAGACGCCCAAGATGGCATGTGTATGGCAGCACATTTCATTTGGAACTTTTACCATTCAGTGGAGAGAAGACTTGCACAGGACACGCCCTCAGATGACCAACTTGATGTCCAGATTCTCACTGACTTGCAGCAGAAGCAAACTAGGGATGCTCATGTGACTGCTTCACTGATGACTAATAAGGTAGGAATTGTTACATTTTGTATTTATGCATGTAAGCACATTGTATACACCAGATTTTACTTTTTCATATTAACTGAATTGTTTTTGTGAGGTGAGTTAATGTGATATATCTCATATCTACTCTGAAGGCCAAGGAGGTGACAGTAGTTTTGTGGATTGGTGGAACTGTATTGAACTTGGATATGTTTGTTGCACAAAAATGACAGTTATAAAACTGAAACGTAGTTTATTGAAATTGTCAAAGAGGACATGTCAAGTATTCTGAAATAACAATATGAGTAGCAACAAAAGGGGACTGAGATACAGTTGTGCAGTAATGTTTAAAAAATAAACCATATCTAATGCAGATAACAACTAATGTTTGAAAACCATTTTTGAACAAGATGAACAAAAGTTTATGTATACCATTTGACTTGCATTAACTCATAGAATCAACAAAATGGAGATGATATCACAGTGATCAATCTGAAACTATGGTAATGGGCAATGAGGACGTCAGTTCTCACACATATTTGGCTATTGTGGACAGTGTGGCAGAAATTAAATAAAGGTGACTTCCCTAAAACATTGGCTGTGGCGATACTTTACGTGAATGTTGGTTTCTTTCACATTGTTATAATAGGTTTGAAAAGGGACCATTGTGACCATTAACACACACTGTTATATATACAGCCAACAAAATCTTACTTCCTCTCCTGATTTCACTACTTGTAACATTCACCTCTCTTTGAATGTAGCTGATGAGCAAGAGTGCCTAGGCTCAATCTTGTGTTGTTAACATATTGAATTTTTTATGCAAACCTACATAAGCCATTGTACATGATACCTGTGAAGATCCGGGTTAGAATTGATCTTCAGTAACCCATGCTTGTCGTAAGAGGTTACTAACGGGATCTGGTGGTCAGGCTCACTGAGTTCGTTGACACATGTCATCGGTTCCCAATTGTGCAGATCGATGCTTATGCTGTTGATCACTGGATTGTCTGGTCCAGACTCAATCATTTACAGACTGCTGCCATATAGCTGGAATATTGCTGAGTGCGGCGTAAAACTAAACTCACTCATTGTACATAAAAGATTGTTGCAGTGCACATAAATACCATAAATGTTGAACGTGTTGATTGTCTGCAGGATGAGGATGTACTGGAGAAGCTTGTGAAGATGCAAGGATTTGCGCGGAGGGAAGGATGGTATGACAATCTTACTGCCGTCTTGTTTACAGTCAGTGATGACCAGCCAGTGGACCCTACAGAGGACTCAGCTGAAATTCCAGACATTAGCGAGATAGAACGACAAATGGAGAAGGAGTTTGACAGGGAGAAGGAAGAAGCCCTTGAAGCTGGTATGTTGGACTTTGTGGTAACTCTAGAAGCCAGAGTGTCACACATGCTTAGGAGATGGATGGATACCATTCTAAAATTAACACAAACAGGAAACCAACTAGATTAGATTTTAGATTTAGAAGTGCATATAGTCACTTTATAGATAATGGTGATGCCAGCTACAACCATGTGAACACTGGCAACAGAATGATCACTATCTATAATACACTGTTGCCAGTCTCATGGCAATATATCATTGCTTAATTCATGGTCCATTTTCAAACTTCCTTTTGGTATGGTTCAAATAAATATTTGGCTCAATTTGATACATGAGTGGCAAATCTTGGTCAGCATGGGAACCACCAGGGAATGTATATGGGATTCATATAGGCCCCTCAGCATGGGAACCCTCATGGAATGTATATGGCATTCATATAGGCCCCTCAGCATGGAAACCACCAGGGAATGTATATGGCATTCATATAGGCCCCTCAGCATGGGAACCACCAGGGAATGTATATGGCATTCATATAGGCCCCTCAGCATGGGAACCCTCATGGAATGTATATGGGATTCATATAGGCCCCTCAGCATGGAAACCACCAGGGAATGTATATGGCATTCATATAGGCCCCTCAGCATGGGAACCACCAGGGAATGTATATGGCATTCATATAGGCCCCTCAATGGAAACCACCATATGTATATGGATTCATATAGGCCCCTCAGCATGGGAACCACCAGGGAATGTATATGGCATTCATATAGGCCCCTCAGCATGGAGGGAACCACCCACCAGGGAATGTATATGGCATTCATATAGGCCCCTCAGCATGGGGGAACCACCAGGGAATGTATATGGGATTCATATAGGCCCCTCAGCATGGGAAACCACCAGGGAATGTATATATGGGATTCATATAGGCCCCTCAGCATCACCAGGAATGTATATGGCCATATAGGCCTCTCAGCATGGAAACCACCAGGGAATGTATATGGCATTCATATAGGCCCCTCAGCATGGAAACCACCAGGGAATGTATATGGGATTCATATAGGCCCCTCAGCATGGGAACCACCAGGGAATGTATATGGGATTCATATAGGCCCCTCAGCATGGGAACCCTCATGGAATGTATATGGGATTCATATAGGCCCCTCAGCATGGAAACCACCAGGGAATGTATATGGATTTATGTTGGCCCCTTGGCACTTGGTTACAATATGATATGTGATTAAACAATAGAGAGAAGTATGGTATGTTGAAAGCTTTGATTCATTTCAACTTATCTAATTTTATCAATTCAACAGTTGCAAATACTGGAGGTATAAGCATAAAACCGAATGTTTCACAGTTCACAATTAGCAGTAAAACAGTCTGTTAAAAAAGCAGGTTGTACAAGTTCTAATCGTCTCTCTGTTTCACAGGTTTCATAAAGCCAAAGTTGTCATTATCAGGTGAATCCCAGAGCTGTATAATCTCAGATGAAGCATGGAGTTTTTTATAACTGTGTTATAACTGTGATTGATGTGTGTGTGTTGTGTGTTTTTCCCCTGAAAACCTAACATTGTGTAAACTAAACACCTTTACCCATGCATGTAACAGTCCCCAGCAGCTGATGATGTTGTGAACCTGCGTTGGTGTGGAAGGCCTTTTGCTTATTAGCTGCTATAAAATTCCTGGTGTGAAAAACTGAAACCAGTTACAGTGGAAGACATATTTTAGTCAACAGCAGCCAGTACTCTGGTACAGGACATTGCAAATTGTGGTCAGTGTTTACGGTGACAGATGGGATGAAACCTGTATGAAGTCATTCAGTACAGACTATACCAACACTAAACTCTACGTCCTGCCACACTAAACTCTACATCCTGCCACACTAAACTCTACATCCTGCCACACTCAACTCTACATCCTGCCACACTAAACTCTACATCCTGCCACACTAAACTCTACATCCTGACACACTAGACTCTACATCCTGACACAAAAACTCTACGTCCTGCCACACTAAATTTTACGTCCTGCCACACTAAAATCTACAACCTGCCACACTAAACTCTACATCCTGCCACACTAAACTCTACATCCACACTAAACTCTACATCCTGCCACACTAAACTCTACATCCTGCCACACGACACTCAAACTCTACCTCCTGCCACACTAAACTCTATGTCCTGCCACACTAAACTCTGCGTCCTGCCACACTAAACTCTACATCCTGCCACACTAGACTCTACATCCTGCCACACTAAACTCTACATCCTGCCACATTAAACTCTACATCTTGCCACACTAAACTCTATGTCCTGCCACACTAAACTCTGTGTTCTGCCACACTAAACTTTACGTCCTGCCACACTAAACTCTACATCCTGCCACACTAAACTCTACGTCCTGCCACACTAAACTCTACGTCCACACTAAAATCTACAACCTGCCACACTAAACTCTACATCCTGCCACACTAAACTCTACGTCCACACTAAAATCTACAACCTGCCACACTAAACTCTACGTCCACACTTAACTCTACATCCTGCCACACTAAACTCTACATCCTGCCACACGACACTAAACTCTACCTCCTGCCACACTAAACTCTACATCCTGCCACACGACACTCAAACTCTACCTCCTGCCACACTAAACTCTATGTCCTGCCACACTAAACTCTGCGTCCTGCCACACTAAACTCTACATCCTGCCACACTAGACTCTACATCCTGCCACACTAAACTCTACATCCTGCCACATTAAACTCTACATCTTGCCACACTAAACTCTATGTCCTGCCACACTAAACTCTGTGTTCTGCCACACTAAACTTTACGTCCTGCCACACTAAACTCTACATCCTGCCACACTAAACTCTACGTCCTGCCACACTAAACTCTACGTCCACACTAAAATCTACAACCTGCCACACTAAACTCTACATCCTGCCACACTAAACTCTACGTCCACACTAAAATCTACAACCTGCCACACTAAACTCTACGTCCACACTTAACTCTACATCCTGCCACACTCAACAAACTCTACATCCTGCCACACTAAACTCTACCTCCTGCCACACTAAACTCTATGTCCTGCCACACTAAACTCTGCGCTTCTGACACACTAAACTTTACGTCCTGCCACACTTAACTCTACATCCTGCCACACTAAACTCTACATCCTACCACACTAAACTCTACATCCTGCCACACTAAACTCTACATCCTGCCACACTAAACTCTACATCCACACTAAACTCTACATCCTGCACACTAAACTCTACATCCTGCCACACTAGACTCTACATCCTGACACACTAGACTCTACATCCTGACACAAAAACTCTACGTCCTGCCACACTAAATTTTACGTCCTGCCACACTAAAATCTACAACCTGCCACACTAAACTCTACATCCTGCCACATTAAACTCTACATCCACACTAAACTCTACATCCTGCCACACTAAACTCTACATCCTGCCACACGACACTCAAACTCTACCTCCTGCCACACTCAAACTCTATGTCCCACCACACTAAACTCCCCAAGGCCCTGCCACACACTAAACTCTACATCCTGCCACACTAGACTCTACATCCTGCCACACTAAACTCTACATCCTGCCACATTAAACTCTACATCTTGCCACACTAAACTCTATGTCCTGCCACACTAAACTCTGTGTTCTGCCACACTAAACTTAAGGTCCTGCCACACTAAACTCTACCTCCTGCCACACTAAACTCTATGTCCTGCCACACTAAACTCTACGTCCACACTAAAATCTACAACCTGCCACACTAAACTCTATATCTTGCCACACTAAACTCTATGTCCTGCCACACTAAACTCTGCGTTCTGCCACACTAAACTTTACGTCCTGCCACACTAAACTCTACATCCTGCCACACTCAACTCTACATCCTGCCACACTAAACTCTACATCCTGCCACACTAGACTCTACATCCTGCCACACTAAACTCTACATCCTGCCACACTCAACTCTACATCCTGCCACACTAGACTCTACATCCTGCCACACTAAACTCTACATCCTGCCACATTAGACTCTATGTCCTGCCACACTAAACTCTACATCCTGCCACACTTAACTCTACATCCTGACACACTAAACTCTACATCCTGCCTCACTAGACTCTACATCCTGCCACACTAAACTTTACATCCTGCCACATTAGACTCCTAAGATCCTGCCACACTAAACTCTCTCCCACGCCCTGCCACACTAAACTCTATGTCCTGCCACACTAAACTCTCACACTGCACTCTGCCACACACTAAACTTACGCCCTGCCACACTAAACTCTACATCCTGCCACACTAAACTCACACTAAACTCTACCTCCTGCCACACTCAACTCTACATCCTGCCACACTAAACTCTGCAGTCCTGCCACACTAAACTCTACATCCTGCCACACTAAACTCTTCATCCTGCCACACTAAACTCTACATCCTGCCACACTAAACTCTATATCTTGCCACACTAAACTCTATGTCCTGCCACACTAAACTCTCATGCTCTGCCACACTAAACTTTTTACCATCCTGCCACACTAAACTCTACATCCTGCCACACTCAACTCTACATCCTGCCACACTAAACTCTACATCCTGCCACACTAGACTCTACATCCTGCCACACTAAACTCTACATCCTGCCACACTCAACTCTACATCCTGCCACACTAGACTCTACATCCTGCCACACTAAACTCTACATCCTGCCACATTAGACTCTACGTCCTGCCACACTAAACTCTACATCCTGCCACACTTAACTCTACATCCTGACACACTAAACTCTACATCCTGCCACACTAAACTTTACATCCTGCCACATTAGACTCTACATCCTGCCACACTAAACTCTACGTCCTGCCACACTAAACTCTTTGTCCTGCCACACTAAACTCTGCATACTGCCACACTAACCTTTACGTCCTGCCACACTTAACTCTACATCCTGCCAAACTAAACTCTACATCCTACCACACTAAACTCTACATCCTGCCACAAAAACTCTACATCCTGCCACACTAAACTCTACATCCTGCCACACTAAACTCTACATCCTGCCACACTAAACTCTACATTCTGCCACACTAAACTCTACATCCTGTCACATTGATCTCTATATCATGCCAAACTGCTGGTGATGTTACAAAAATACCATTTCTTTTTCATTTCGACTTCCATGTCAGAAATATGCATTATGTCAGAAAGCTCATATTAAATTTCCGAATTATCATCATCTCATCTTGGATGTCAAGAATGAGAAAAATATTCAACTGTTAGCAGTTTAAGTTTGTTTGAAGCATAATGGAAACTACAGTGCACTCTGTCAAACTCGGACTCTGTCTTTCTCGGATTGCTGTATAAACAGGACTGAACTCACGGTCCCGACGTAATCCTTCTTTGTTGTCATAATAAAAAGTTCTGTATCTCGGACTCTCATTATTTCGGATTTCGGACCAAAGTGTCGGCCCGATAAGGTAGTTACATGTAAAAACATTGCTATATAATTCGGACTGAGCAGGAAGTCCGCTTGGCCAATAAAACCTTGAATAAACATTCATCGTAAACGAAAACTTTTAGATTTTGACAAATGTTTTGGGTAAAATAATGCTATTCTGAACATATTAAGTATGAAATTGCTACCTATACGTAAATTATGGAACGTATTCGACTTATCGTTCTAGGCTATGACCTGTGACAAAAATGCTTCCGAACGTGAAGATTGAGGCGGCGAGAGCTGAGATGTCACTTGTCAGTGACTTGACTTACATTACATGATCGCACAAAAAGATGGAAATAGTAATTTTATATGTACGTTTGACAACTTTTATGAATGTTGTTGTTGATTTCATTCATTAGTTTATTCAATTTATTTCATGAATTCCTCGAAACATCGTTACTTTGCTCTTTGACAATGTTATTGTGGACCCGCTGCCGAAGCAGGTGTCCGAGAATCGTTGTTTTCAATAACATTGCGAAAAATAGTTTATAATTTTAATTCTGCTGATAATAGGGAGATAACTCCATTAAAATCTGTGTACTTTGGACTACTGTATAATTCGGACTTTTTAGTCGGCCCCAAGCTGGTCCGAATTAGACAGAGTGCACTGTATTGTAAAGTATTTCATGTATATTGTCATACAATTGTTCATGTGCATCACAAAGAATAATGACTGGCCAGGGATATTCATGAGAAGGGTATCAGTCACATTAGGATGTAATCACTTTATGTTTTGAAGTTATCTCAACTCACAGTAGCCAGAGACCATGTATTCCATGTATTGGTACAAGTATGTCAATATGGATGAGTCACTTGCCCCCTGTGAGAACCCTGCACCATTGCTTCCTTTGTATTATAGATAAGGGATCTAGTGACATGAGAGAAAAACTTAGTGTTATTTTAAATAGATTAAGATGTCAAGTTTTTCATATGCTACAAAATACTACACTACATATACTTCATATCACTTGGTCAAATAATATATTAAAGTATTATGCTTTATGACTCTTGGCTTGCCTTGGGTATGTTAAGATATTCCAAACAATTTCTTCATGTTCTTCAGAATATGTGCCACCAAGTATGGTCAGCTTACTTCTTCATTTTGATTATGGTACTTATATCAAGTTTAAAGTAGAGGCAGAACAATATCTTGACGGAATCAACTTCAAAATGTTTTGCTTATATTTAAGATGGGTTCATTAACATTAGGTGACAAGACAACATTCCTAAGTTGCATGTCAGGGCTTGTGTTGTTTGGTTTTCAGTTGTTCCTTACCAGCAAACAAGAGAGAGGCACATGCACCGCAGAATCAGTAGATCAGTATTCTCACCTAAGTTCAACTAGTAGAATAACTTACCAATGTCATATCATGGTGTTCTTCAGTGTGGCTCTTGAGAGTAGGTTTCTGTTTCTTGTAAGGAGAATATGTTTTTCAAAGTAATTGTAGGATATACAATATTACTTAAGCAAACATTTATTAAAGTAGACAGGTCTGTGCTTCATCAGAATTGTATTCCTTTAATGTGTTTCTGTTTATCAACTTGACAGCACTGGTAGAGGGTCAGAATGTTGATACAGCAGCCATCCTTCAACAACTGGAGGCAGACCAGGCCATGAGGAGGCAGGTGAGTAATTCTTGCCAATACTTTACCTCTATTACATCAGTGTCTAATTCCTGTAGTTTCGCCTCTCATCACACTTAAAAATCTTTACATTTTCAACACAAGTCTTCTTCAGTGTTAACAATTCATAATTAGTTTTGCAAGTAATAGTATCTTGCCTGGCTTGCCTTCTGGTCATGCGCAACATATGAAAACCTTACTGGTAACTTTTCAATTCTGTGCTTCAAATTTATACCAGTTTCATAATGTTTAGAAAATGTACTAGTTGTGTAGGAATGTGAATAAATATACTGATGAATCAGTTGAATGGCTTTTTGATTTAAGCTGTGCATCAGTAGCAACAAACTAAAGAACTACTCATACTCTCACATCATTTCTTCCTTATGTCTGCTCACACTAGCACCAGAAATATATTCCTTTGTCTGAGCACACCTACCTAAGTTACATTCAATACGACAGTAACTTACCGGTAGGTTATTGAATAAAGACAACTATATCTTGAGCTGTTTTTGTGTAAAATTACATAAATTGTATTTTTTAACATATCTTGGGCCTATGAACTCACCTTCCCCATCCACTATCTACCCAGGATGTGGCCATGCCATGGTTGTTGGAGAAACCCATCATCAGTTTATATGTCAAGCAGAGCTCTCCACATTATCATCAGGATGAAGGCTTATGCAGAGGTCTCTGATTTGAGGTTCAATATATTATGGGAATTTCAGCAATCAACTTGATCTTTTGCAAAACTTTGGAAGTTGTGGTGAAAAGTGAAGCTGTCTGCCAGGTTCTCCTGGACTTAAAAGCAATCAGACACGATGATGCACAGGGAACAGTATTGACAAGCAGCCCTGATCCATCTCATTCCAGGCAGGGCAGGACAGGGGTTTGGTTGTAACTTCCACTATTCACACAGTGCCATTTGCTGATTTACCTTTGTCTATGGACTTATCTTTGGAGGCTGGACCAGGTGGGGTTCATTCACTCTGTGCTAGAGATAGGGCTGGGACGGGTAGGAAAAAATGGAATCGAGTACCCGCATGTATTTACCCGAATCGGAATCGAGTACCCGGAAATGTAAGGAATACAGCGCTCTGTCAACTTTCTGAATATCCAATCACGATTTGACAGAAATTATTATACAAAATTTGAAAGGATGGCAATAAGACATTGAAACTGATCTTAGACTATTTAATTTACGTCTGTTTAACTAATATAGAGAGTAACACCATTACGTACATTCCACAGCACTTTTCGTTCGCACTGTTACTGTGACATGACAACTCATTGCTCATGTGCAACTAAATAACAATCGTTAATAATAACATCCATTAACCGGACAATACCAAAAGATGTAAATGTGTATTACGTCAATGAGAAAGACACGTTATTTTGTCAACTAGTACACAACTACCTTCAGGTGTGATATTATAACTGAACCTATATAATGTTTTACATGTAGATTTATTGTAAACTTACCTAGAATAAAATTTGATTGATGTATTTACTGACTGGAGAAGTCTATACGAGATATACAGAGACAGAACTGTAATGCAAGCTGAGTTAGCAACATAGCAAAATGCTTACATTTCGCATGAGGGAAGACTGGTCATTTTGCTCTGTTGCACAACTCAGTTTGCATTACAGTTAGTCTATTATACAATACAAACTAATACAGTGATTAAATTTTTATCCTTCCAGAAGATTATTAAAAGTTGCATTGAAATACTTTTGTGTGAATGTAGGGATAAAGAGAATATATCTAAATGCTATATTTTCACGCTTAAATAAATAAAACACACAAAAACTATTGTTATTTAAATATTCTAAATTTGTATATATTAAGTGAACATTAGCGTATCTTCATTGGAATAACTGTATGCTGATATTATTTGTTAAACTATAAAATGTATATTAACTAAATGGTATTATATGTGATCTAAGTGAATTGTGCTTCTATATATTTCTGATCACTTTCTTCTTATTGTCATGATAATCAGTCGAACATTGTATTTGCAAAATCAGAATGTGCTCTTTTCAATAAACGTTAAGCTTTAATATGTTAATTCATTAGTTTTAATTGATATTCCCAACACATAGAATCATTTAATTACAATCTCTATATAGTGTGTGAAGAAGCCCATTTCTGGTGTCCCCATTGATGTTGCTGGAATATTGCTAAAGCGGCGCGTGAAACCAAACTCAGCCAGTCAGTCAGTCTCTATATAGTGAATGTATTCAGCCTTGACACAGAAGTAAAAGATGTGTTCATGAAATTGAAATAACAAAATTCAACGTAATCTTAACAGCATTTAATGAACTAACTTAATAAGCAATTAGAGTTACACAATGCAATGAACACCTTTATGTTTTACGTTGTGTGTTAAAGCAAGATGTTTGTTCATTGAACTTGCACTGCTTCCACAATAAATAACATGGTACCACAGAGTTGGCATTTCGTTCTCTTGCCATTTGCATCAAGCTCAAAATGAGCCCAAACACACTTAGCATGTGTGTCGTCCATTTTGTTCTTGGTTTGAGTTACATGCCCTTGACATTACAGAGTTCTCACCCTTTCCGGGTACTCGATTCCTTGGAATTGGACTCGAATCCAGCTGTACCCGATCCGGATTCGAGTACCCGAGTATCCGTCCCAGCCCTAGCTAGAGAGTAGTTTGTTAATACAGCAAAATCTTCTCTCAACATAGATGTGCATGTCTTGTTTGCTCCCACCCACCTTACACCACACATCTCAGGTCTGAACTTGGCTGACTTAGCCCTTCAAGACATCTCTGCTCACACAGCCTGTCACAGCTCAGGTGCTATTTAACCAGAATCTACTCCCACATTATCCATGAGGTGCATCAAGACATGACGGTTAATTTCAGATGACTGCCCACAAGATGCCCACCGACTGACCATCACTTGAGATAAAATCAAGAAATAGGTTGCCAGATCATACATATTACATGGTATCTGCTTCTAGCTTAACCAGCACCCCTGAAAACTATCACATTAAATATGCAGGCTTCCTGTTCTCCAAGTCCTCTGATGCCGCTATCTACAGCAACTGAGACAAAAAGGATGAGGAGTAGAGCATGTGGATGTTACCATCCCCAAGATGGTGGATTTCTGGCTCCAAATCAGACAGAAGAAGAATTTTGAATAGTGGGATACAGATCCACTCCAGCATGGGTTCTTTAATATGATGTCTTATCTTTGGGTACCCATCCCTTAACTCATCAAGTCATTGACTTTACTTCCTCCCGGCTCATGGTAGCACTGTGGACCTTCCTGTCCTCTCAATGTGTCCAATAGAAGTACTGAAATACTATTTTTGATGCAAGAATAAATGTCTTTAAGACAGAAATCAACTTTTCATCTCTTGCAAGTCTACTGTTGGGATATCACCTAGAATAATACCAAAGGTTGGTTGAAAACCACCATTTCAGAAAGCTACCATCATGCTGAAGTCTCCCCATCTGTCTGGAGTGACTGCAATACCCATGTTTACATCCTTAGCGTCATCAGTCTCCATGGAGCCAGCAGTCTTAGAATGTCAGTGGAGGTCCCATACTATGTTTACAAATCTCTATCTGTCTGTGATATACCTGGTAGCCATATCTGAAGGGTCTGTTCTACCTGGTCCAATCAGTGCTCTGCCTCCCTCTTTCTATGGTCAAAATGGGGAGAAATCCTCTACTTCAACCTGAGAAGTAGGGTGAACTTTTGATGATTATGTTAGCCCAAGATGACACACATCTCAGGACAGCTGGTCTGCACTAGAATATCAGGTGATGATTGTTTAAACAAAAGTGACGTCAGAATGAGAAGTGGTCAGCACTCGAGGTGACATAAATACACAATGAGAAGATGTCATAGAGGGAAGTGACATCAGGTAACTGGAAGTGATGTCAATACTGTGACTAGAAACTAGGGGTGACTATTGAGTGGGAACCAACTATTGTGATAGTGATAGTCTATTGCAACCAACTATTGCAATACTTAGTTTTTCTCTCCTTGAATTTATTTCCCAAATGAATGTATAGTTTATATGAAACTTGAAACCCAGATCAAGTAAACAGTTAAAACATAAATTTATTGTTATTCACAATTTTAATCTTCGCCATGTTTGTTTAAGAGGTAACAGAGGTGAATCTGGTACTTCTTGTATTTTGCAATGCGCATTTATCAACGGAAGTCAATTACTAAACTATCGATAGTCACACATACTATCTTTGTTTCTACCATCAATTAATTGCTATTGGAGACTCAACAATTGTAATCCATCAATAGTTTGATGCATCGTTACAGCTTTACTAGAAACAGTATTTAACAGTATGGATGATATTACCACTAAGTTAGTGGATTTTAGATGGATTTAGGGAATGATTATTCCATTCACAACTTGTTAGAACTTGTGAACATACCAATGTCATGCACATTTTTCATGACCAACATGGTCTGGATAAAATGCTAAGATTACAGTCCAATGTGTCAGTGTGTTCTTGTACATTTCCTTGATAAAAACCTTACTGGAAGTTGCTCTAATGTTGTTTTAAACATTTATTGACATGCAATGTCTGTCAAGCAGTTGGCATGTTGGAAGCTGGAACTTGATGGAGTATAGGGCCACACAAGCTCTTAACATTTCAGTCAGTAATTAGCAGATTACAATCAAGATATTGACAGACAAATAACATTGATGACAGACGTTGATCTGGTCAACTATGGTCAACAACTGGCGCACAAGACTGTTCCATCAGAATGACTGGGGGAGTGGTTCAGTTCTTATTCCCCACAAAATAAACAACAAGGTTTTTCATGTAGTGGGATTATACCTGAGTGTTATGAATGGTGTTCACAGGCCATTCTAGAGCAGCATGCACGACAGAGACAGGAGATGGAACAGAAGCTTTCAGCTCGTAGAGAAGCCAGCACAAACAGGGAGTTTGAAGCAGCCACTGCAGTACAGCTCCTCAAGATGGCTGAGAACCAGTCCAAGGCAGTCAATGACAAGGTGCACTCGGAGAAGGACAGACAGGGCAGTTTGGTGAGTTGTCTGTGATAAGGTACACTCGGAGAGGGACAGACAGGGCAGTTTGGTGAGTTATCTGTGATAAGGTGCAGTCGGAGAAGGACAGACAGGGCAGTTTGGTGAGTTATCTGTGACAAGGTGCAGTTGGAGAAGGACAGACAGGGCAGTATGGTGAGTTATCTGTGATAAGGCAGTGCAGACAGGGCAGTATGGAGTTAAATAAGGTGCAGTCGGAGAAGGACAGACAGGGCAGTTTGGTGAGTTATCTGTGATAAGGTGCACTCGGAGAAGGACAGTACAGGGAAGGACAGCATGGTGAGAAGGACAGACAGGGCAGTTATTGTCTGTGATAATGTACACAGACAGGGCAGTACTGGGTGAGTTATCTGGAGAAGGACAGACAGGGCAGTTTGGTGAGTTGTCTGTGATAAGGTACACTCGGAGAAGGACAGACAGGGCAGTTTGGTGAGTTGTTGTAAGGTGCAGTGACAAGGTGCAGTCGAGAGAAAGGACAGACAGGGCAGTTTGGTGAGTTATCTGACAAGGTGCAGTAAGGAAGGACAGACAGGGCAGTTTGGTGATTTGTCTGTGACAAGGTACACTCGGAGAAGGACAGACAGGGCAGTTTGGTGAGTTATCTGTGACAAGGTACACTCGGAGAAGGACAGACAGGGCAGTTTGGTGATTTGTCTGTGATAAGGTACACTCGGAGAAGGACAGACAGGGCAGTTTGGTGAGTTGTCTGTGACAAGGTACACTCGGAGAAGGACAGACAGGGCAGTTTGGTGAGTTATCTGTGACAAGGTACACTGAGAAGGACAGACAGGGCAGTTTGGTGAGTTGTCTGTGACAAGGCTACACCTGGAGAAGGACAGACAGGGCAGGGTGAGTTTGGTGACAGACAGGGCAGTTTGGTGAGTTGTCTGTGACAAGGACAAACAGGTACACTCGACAAGGACAGACAGGGCAGTTTGGTGAGTTGTCTGTGACAAGGTACACTCGGAGAAGGACAGACAGGGCAGTTTGGTGAGTTGTCTGTGACAAGGTACACTCGGAGAAGGACAGACAGGGCAGTTTGGTGAGTTATCTGTGATAAGGTACACTCGGAGAAGGACAGACAGGGCAGTTTGGTGAGTTATCTGTGACAAGGTACACTCGGAGAAGGACAGACAGGGCAGTTTGGTGAGTTGTCTGTGACAAGGTGCACTCGGAGAAGGACAGACAGGGCAGTTTGGTGAGTTATCTGTGACAAGGTGCAGTTGGAGAAGGACAGACAGGGCAGTTTGGTGAGTTGTCTGTGATAAGGTACACTTGGAGAAGGACAGACAGGGCAGTTTGGTGAGTTGTCTGTGACAAGGTGCAGTCGGAGAAGGACAGACAGGGCAGTTTGGTGAGTTGTCAGTTATCTGTGATTTGGTGAGTTATCTGTGATAAAGTGCATTCAGAGAAGGACAGATAGGGCCATTGAGTTTGTGTTCTATTTTTTGCCTATGGATGGAAAAAAATATCGTCAGACAAGGTGATATTTCCGGTCAATAGTTCAGTAAGGCAGTATTCATAGTCCTCAAAGTATTCTTTGTTAGGTTCATGTTAGGTTCATAATAATATTTACTTCAGATGAAGAGACAGATATTGGACCAATTTTCAAGCTCTAATTTATCATCTTGAATGACTGATTCATCTGACTGACGTATGATCTTCTAGCATTTGTGTACATAGCTGAGTATCTGAGTAAAAGTCAGATATATTCATGTTTCAGCTGCAGGAAAAGTTGGCTGCCAGGCGACGAAGTCGCAAACGTTTGGCTTCAGTGGAGGAAGAGCCCAAACAAGACCCAGCTATTATGCCATCTCTTGTAAGTCCAAATAATGTTGTTAAGCACACCATTCAGAACCCACACTTTGGATCTTAAGTGGTCTTTCTGACTCATTTTCTGAAGATTCTAGTTTTTATGTATAGAGTATTATTGTTTGAGCTTCATACCTTTTCTTCCTCTGGATTCAAACTTTAACCTGTGGCTACCGTCAAGCCAGAACATTTACAAATTGGACTGATGTTAAATATTTTGAAAGATTGTCTGACTCAGTCAAAAATTACATTAAACAATAATGATTTTGTTGTATGTGTATGCACACTTTGATGTATTCATTCATCATATGCCCACATCTGACATCAGTGAAGTGAAGTAATGTTCATAACAAAATCATGTAAGATTTTGAAGGTACAGTATGATTACATCCTTAGCCAGGAAGAATTTTGCAATAAAATAACCTTGTAGACATTAGGCAAATGTAAACAGTGTTTGTGTGAAACTATTTACATGGATATAACTAGGGTGTTAGTGTTAATTTTTTGGATCAATAGAACATGCCATTTAACATGTTAAAGTAGGGTGATGACACTGGGTGTGGTGACCAACAGCTGACAAGAGTATCACTGTAACACAATCAAAGTGTCCATTTGCAGCTAATGTTATAGCACCACCGAGTGCACACTGGGTAAGGGTATACCTTGCTCTCTGGCAGTAGTGTTTGTTACATTTGGGCTGACACAGTGAAGTACAAAGTGTGGAACTTTAGGGGGCGTGTGAGACCCATCACTTTGAACCCTCACTGTCAGAGTGAGGCATGTAGTCGCCGGCACACAGTCGGCAACCTCTGCCATTATGTATGTTTCAGTTGTGTTGAATGCTGACTAACTGTATTAGGTTGCAGTAGATTTGCTCCTACAGTTATAACAGAAACACAAGGCCCCCACATAATGTCAGTAAAGTCTTGTCGTATTTATTAAACACATTTTGTTGGTGGTTTAATACGAACTCAGCCTGTTTCATGCTGACTGTTGACAGTACCGTCTCATCAAGGTGGCGGTGGGGTAGCCTAGTGGTTAAAGCGTTGGCTCGTCACGCCGAAGACCCGGGTTCAATTCCCCACATGGGCACAATGTGTTAAGCCCATTTCTGGTCCCCCGCTGTGATATTGCTAGAATATTGCTAAAAGCGGCGTAAAACTAAACTCACTCAGTCAGTCAGTCTCATCAAGAACTACATCGTCTTGTCTAGTAATGAGACATAATCTGTTTAAAGTTTGATTTTAAAATGGGTTTATTTTTCCTTATCCTGACTCATGCTTATTGCTTGTCTTCTTCTTCTTCTTGCGAACATAGTGGAACACGTGTATCTCCCAATTGAAGTTCCCTTCAATTAAAAAATCACCAACCAGCACTCACCACGGTTACCTCCCTTCCACAAGCGCGGGAACGAGGGTGCCACCTGAACCCATGTGCCTCACTCTCTCCTTCTTTGCCCAGTGAGCTGGACGTGAGAGCGCCTGTGTCTCCCAACACACTATATCCTTTATTTATATTTAGTTTAGTACCTCTTATATTCAGTTATAGAGGTGTAACTAGTATCCTTATTCAACTTGCATTGATTATTAGTCGTGTTTCTGCTGTTTTATTCACGGTTCGCCGTGTTTGTTCAGCAGTTTACGTTAATGAGAATCTGCACAGGTTGTAAACTACGTTATTCCGCTACCGATCCACATTTAAAATGCCCTAGTTGCATTACTCCATGTTCTATTGTTTCTCGTTGTAAATTATGTATTAATTTACCAATTTCTGCCTTTGATAAATATTTATGTTCCGTTTTGAGACGGAAGGCAGATAAATCTCGCAAACAATCTTCAGTCATGGCTAATAGATCGGAAGCTATTATACCCTGTCAACTGTTGACTGACGACCCGCCACCGGCTGGTGGCCTGCCGGAGTTTCCCTCGGGGGATAAGCGTGGGACGCAGTCCGCTATGTCCAAGAAGCGACCTGCATCTCAAGACATTCCGTCTTCACAGTCTAAGACTAGGAAAGCGTCCACATCATCTCAACGTACGCTTCGAACCCCCAGGTCCACAGCTTCGTCAAAAGGGAAATCTACGAAAGCTACAAATAATTTTGCCTCCGATATTCTACCTGTCTCAGAATTATGTTTATATGATGATGACATTCCGATTATCATTCCAGATGTACGTCATAAGAAACGTCCAGTATCTGCTACCGTCACTACAGCATAGATAAACACGCAACCAGAGATGCCTACGCTGACGCCTGAGTTTACAATTGAGGGTCCCGTCACTTTCACAGAGAGGCCACCCTCAACGCCAGCGCAGACCGTCCCAGACGACCTGGTTAACCAAATCATGAGACTGATGGAGGACCGTTACGGTTTACAGAGGCCCCAGAGCCACGGGCCCCAGAGCCCAACACTTAATAAGTCATACAGGGCCCCAGAGCCCGCCTTGGCTTCGCGTAGGGCCCCAGAGCCCACAAATGCGCCTCCGCGAAGGGCAACCCAGCCCGTAGCGATCACTTTGCAAAGGAAGTCCCAGGCCGCCTCCGCGAAGGAGCTAGAGCCTATCCAGTTGCGAGGGACATCGCGGAGAAGGAGCGCTTCGCCGAGCCCACACCCTGTAGAACACAGAGGTCGTTCGCGAAGCAAGCGCTCATATGTCGATTCGGACACTGACTCGATACATTCGCGAAGGTCGCGAAGGCTAAGTGGCTCCATATCTACCTCGCCCAGAAGATTTAGAAGAGCTTCGCGAAGTCCCCAGCGTTTGCCGAGGATGTCTCCTCCAAGGTCTCCTTACACTAGCCACTCGTCAGTCCGTTCACCACAGTCCTCTCATAGATCTTCCTACAGATCTAGGACTCCGACATGTGACCCTACATCAGAGGAAGAAGGTATCATTTTCTCAGATGTTGGATGGTGAATGAGTTACAACTTGCTTCCCCATCGAAGAACGAGAATTCAACTCAGACTTACCTGATGAAGGATGATGATGTAGACAATATCACCTTACCTCCTATTGATCCGATTGCAGCGGTACCAGCTAATTTGGATGCAGCCTGTTCCAAATCTTCAAAAGTCCAATCTACACATTTCCCGGTCTTCAATGCCAAGAAATTTGCTGGACACGATATGGACCCCTTTTTCAAGGCCCAGGATATTGATGACAACTTTAAATTAATCAGCGATGCTAAGTCCAGAAGTTACAAAGTAGACGATCGCAAATTCGCTCAACTAGATACCATCGCCAGGAGGATGTTCTTTGGATTGAATAGATCTAGAACGATTAATGAAACTCTCATCACCAAGTTCAAGAATTCTACAGAGGAGGAAGATAGAATGATCTACTCAGCTCTACTCATGCAGAAAAGAGACCACCATTTTCTTACAGAGCACCTATCAGCGCTTACTGAAACTACTACCATGGCTCGTCGGCAAGGCTTACTAGCCTCCTGCTCTTGGGATAAGCAATTTACAGAATCTCTATACACAGCTCCATGGTCATCGCCCTTACTGTTTGGTGGCAACATAGACAAGGTCTCCAAAGAAGTATCTAAAGACTGAAGAGAGGTTCTTATGATCAGATCCATGGATACCTTAGCGAACGTCATTAAACAGTCAACACAGAGATACTCGGGCAAGTCTAAGTTTTCGGGGCTACAGAAAGCACGGGACAAGAAATTAGCTGCAGCTAAAGATCCCAAGGATTCTTTTCGTTGCCCATACAACAAATTTAGGGGAGGATCAGCTAGAGGCAGATCATCCAGAGGTGCCCGTGGATTTAGACGATGAAATTCAGGTTCGGAACGACTGGAGTCTTCCACCCTAGCCGCTCCCGCATAAACCGTCTCAAGTGGGTGGACGCTTCTTCAGCTACACTGGGAAAACTGGGGAATACTACAAGATCCATATGTATCCAACATCCTTCAGCACGGATATCTAATACAACTCAAGGCCAAGCCTCCGTTAACAGTCAACCCCCCAGGGTTCAACATTCAACTGGCACAACTACCTATGTTAAGAGAAACAGTACTTACTCTACTAAACAAACAGGCCTTAGAAGTTCTGGATCAACGAAACATCGTACCAGGTTTCTACTCCCCAATTTTCCTAGTGCCGAAGAAAAATTCCAAGGAGAAGTTTTGTCTCATATACAACATGAGCATCTTCAACAGAGAATATCTATGCAAACCACCAACGTTTCGCATGATACACTTACCGCAACTTCGGCATTTAATTCGTCCCAAAGATTACATGGCCAGCATAGATTTGCAAGACGCATATCTACACATTCCGATTCATCCCAACTCAAGGAAATATCTAAGATTTATCCTAGACGGGAAACATTACCAATGGAAGGTTCTTCCCTTCGGAATCACATCGACCCCTTGGGTATTCACAAGAGTCTACTCAAGTCGGACCTAGAACCAACGCAGGATCTGCAATTTCTAGGTATACGATTTCTAACAGCTCAGAATCGTATTGTAGTCCCGGAGGACAGATGGATCAAGATCCAACAACTTATTCCTCAAGCCCTACTCTCTCCGTTACCACTACGACAGTGGCAGAGCCTATTGGGACTACTCACATCAGCTCAAGACTTGACAGTCAGAGGCAGGCTTCAATTACGTCCGTTACAAGTCCTCATCAATGCTCATCTCGAGGACCCTCTACCATTCAGTCTACCAGATTATGTCAAACCACATCTACTCTGGTGGACCAAGAGATTGAATGTTTGCGCAGGCGTCTCCTTAGTAGAGCCGGAATCGAAAACACATCTCTACGAAGACGCGTCACTACAAGGTTGGGGAGCCCACCTTGCTGGCAGGACAGCGTCAGGCCTATGGAGCAATCAAGAGAGCAAATGTCACATAAATCTGCTAGAGATGCAAGCAGTCATAAACGCCATAAGTCACTGGAGCAACCTACTACAGAACGCCCAGTTGATGGTTCACACAGACAATTCAACAGTGGCGTTTTATGTGAACAAACAAGGTTCAACAAGGTCACAG